TCTAACTCTAATCTAAGAATTATGACTTTTCCCCATATAATATGGGAAACATAATATTTAAAAATCAGTTAACTTTTTTTCAGTGGTTTTTTCAATGCAAACTCTTACAGTTTTGTCTGATTGCTTAAGCACATTTTTTGTAACTATTGGCTATTTTTGCAAAACTCTACACACAAATAAGAAAACCTTTCACCCAATTATCAAAACATTGCAGTTCTCTTGCAAAAGCGAACACAGCTAGATTAACTCTTCACACCTTCGTAAAAATTGGGTTTTCGTATAAAACAGTAAACACAAGCCATCATCTACTAAGCACACAATGTGCCAACTACACACAGATGGTATGAATACAAAACACATCTATCTTTCTCTTTCTCTGTGTACAGATGTCAATTTGAGGTCATACTTTTTTCATAGTGTCATGTAAACATATAAGGATCCAAACTTCAAGTATTTGTGTTTATTCACACTAATCAAAACCAAGACAAATTCAGAACACAAAATAGTAATTTCACAAAAAACATAAAAACAATCAGCCTACATCATGTCGTCTTTCTGGGTCGTCCACATCGCATGCGATATCCTCCAGTCCAAGGCACCGGGCAAAATATCTCATTGAATGCTGTATCCAGGCCTGACATGATGCCAGGTCAATATCTCCACATGCCTCCTCCATTGCCTGTAAAAGGACTACCTGTTGATGAGGATGACGGTCGTAGACTTTCCAGCGGCAGGCAGAGAAGAACTCCTCTATGGGATTTAGGAGTAGAGGGAGGTTGAGTGCCATGATGAATGGGTGGTCTGTAAACCAGTTGCAGTCCAAAGCAGCCCTATGGAAACTAACATTGTAACATATGATGACATATCGGGTATGCTCTAGTCTCTGAACAGTGAGCATGTCATGTAAGGTGTCCAGGAATGCAATAATGTGTGCAGTGTTGTATGAGCCTATGGTTGCATGATGGTGAACAACACCATTTTGGCTTATAGCTGCACACATGGTTATGTTACCACCACGTTGTCCTGGGACATTGATGATGGCACGGTGTCCAATAATGTTCCTGCCACGTCTCCTGGTTTTACTGAGGTTACAGTTTTTTTGGATTGCTTAAGCACGATTTTCAAAACAGGGCCCGTGTTTTCAAAACACTACACACAATTAGCATAACCACACACCCAATTAGCAAAACACTACAGATCCTTTGCATAATTAAACACTCTTGTAAAAACTATACACTTCTGTTTAAAAACCACACTTTGTTACCATATGAAACACACACGTTTCACATTACTATACTCTGTTTGCACGAGTTACACTCTGCTGTGATAAATCTAAAACACTTTTAGCACTTCTACTTCCCTATGATTAGAGTTGGCTACCATCAACAAAGTACAAATATAATGTAAATTCACTAAACACTACACAAGACCAATGTTGCAGACTGAAGAAACTCATTTATTTCTCAACACGCCCAAAATGTTGACATGGAGATTCATAATACTGTAACAAAATGTCACTTTACGTATTGTACTGTAAGTTTACTGTAAAAACAAAACAAAACAAAAACTAGACATTGTCTCTTCGCCTAGCTGGATCTGGCCAGAGAATTACATCAACATCGCTGGCAATGTTGTCATTAGCAAGACACCTTGGAAAGAAACATCTTGAATGACGAATCCATCCTTGCATTGCTGCTACCTCCACCTGGTCACAGGTCTCCTCCATGGCTTGGATGAGGGGTACCTCAGCCTGGAGACGGAGATCATATACCTTCCACCGCCATGCCGAGAAAAACTCTTCCATAGGGTTGAGAAATGGAGAGTATGGTGGAAGATATAGGACGGTGAAATGTGGATGTTGCTGAAACCAGTTCTGAACCAGAGCAGAGCGGTGGAAAGACACATTGTCCCAGACAACAATGTATTGCATATGATCGATTTGATTTGCTGCTGTTATGTTGTGCAATTGGTCCTAGAATGTAAATATGAGTGCTGTGTTGTAAGGGCCCATATGGGCATGGCGGTGGAGGACCCCATTCTGTGTAATGGCCGCACAGAGTGTTATATTACCCCCACGTTGCCCTGGGACATTGACTATAGCCCTGTGGCCAATGATGTTTCTTCCCCTCCTTCGTGTTCTCGTCAGGTTGAATCCAGCCTCATCTACGTAAATGAACTCATGCTGGATCTCCTCTCCATCCATTTGTAAAACTCTCTGAAGAACAGTGTCAGGCAAAATTGTGTTCAGTGTAGATCTCGTATACATATTACAGTACAGTAAAAGATAATTAGACAGTATGCAAGATCACAATGCTTAGGTAAATACATACCTCTGCATAATCATGCCGCAGTCGTTTCACCCTTTTGGAATTGCGCTCGAAAGGCACTCGATAAATTTTCTTCATTTGAATATGGTTTTTTATTAGGATGCGTGCCAGTGTTGATGTTGAGACCTGATGGATATTGTTGAAACCGACGTGGTTATTGACAATGTTAGCTTGGAGCTGATTGAGGGTTATAGCATTGTTTGCCAAAACCCTGTTTACTATCTCCCTCTCTTGCTGTTCTGTGAACATAGGAGGCCGTCCTCCTCCTTGTCCTCCTCCTTCTCCTCCACCTCGTCTTACTATTTCTCTGACTCTTTCCATTGTGCTTGAAGACCGATGAACTCACCTGCTGCTTTTTATAGTGCTTATACACCTGATTGGTGTGTCTACAATTAAGCAAACAAGTGTTTGCACACCTGATAACTGTGTTGAATCAATTGGTTGGAAGGTGCAGTAATTTGACAGTCAGTGCTTTGGTATTGCAAGGAAGTGACTTCATAATAGATTTTTGTGTGTAATGTATGTTAAGTGAGTTTAGTGTTTTGCAAATCACTGTGTGTAGAGTTTTGCAACAAATGTGAGGTTGACAGTGTGCTTATAGTTGTGCAAATATGGGCTGATGTTTTGCTTCTTGAGTGTAAGGTTTTGCTAATAGTGTACTACTTTTAACTTTAGTGTGTAAGCAATCCAAAAAAACTGTAAAACCGGCTTCATCTACAAAAAGTAGTTCATGTCCCATGGCATCTGCTTCTAGTTCCATCACTCTCTGTGTATATTTTGAAAGATGGTGTCATTATCAATTATGCGCTGCTGTATTTCGTGGAGTCTTATTGCATTATTGGAAATCCCCATGTTCACTATATGGGTCTCTTGCTCTGGAGTGAACATTCTTCCTCTGCCCCAACATCTGGATGTCTAGCAATTCTGTAAAGTAACAATTTCAGTATTTTGCATGTATGGGACTGTTGTGTTTCTCATTAGAGTATGGCAGTGCTACAAAGTACTTACCGATTCTCATTTCGAAATGTCCCAATGATGCTTGCCACAGTGTAGCGCCTCAAATTAGGCCAAAGTCGTTTGCCAGCATCCCTCAGGGTCATCCCATGGTTGATACATGGTCCACTATTGTAGCTCTGATGTCATCAGTTGTTCTATTTCTTACTCCTCTTACCCTTCCTCTTTCCCCTCCTCGTTCTCTTCTTGCTCCTCCTTGTCCTCTTCCTCTACCCTGTTGCTTCTTCTACTCCACGTCCTCTCCCTCCGCCTCTTCTGATTCTCACTCTTCTCACTCTTACTGCTCCATCCATTGTACTCCACACAGACAGCTTACCTGTGGCTTATTTATAGTGCTTAGGCTGATTGCAAAGTGAACTAATTATCTAAAAGAGTTTTCACATGTGAAAGTGTGCCAAACTGTTTGCAAAATAGTGTTAATGATAGCCATACATGTGTATAATTTTGCTAGGAGTGTGTTGGAAATTTGGTAATTGAGTGTAAGCAGTGAGTTGTGTTTAAAGTCCTGCAAAAAAATATTGTGCAGTGAATTGTGCCTACAGTTTTGCAAAATGTGCGTTACAAAATTGCAAACTAAGTGAAATGCAGTGTTTGTGCTTTTAGTTTAGCAAACTCAGTGAGTGGTTTTGCTATACGTATTAATAGTTTTAGAAATTGTGCTACAAGAATCCCGATTAGCACATAAGCATTCAGAAAAAACAGTATTCTATTTCTTACTCTTCTTACCCTTCCTCTTTCCCCTCCTTGTCCTCTTCTTGCTCCTCCTTGTCCTCTTCCTCTAACCCTCTTGCTTCTTCTACTCCAAGTCCCCTCCCTCGGCCTCCTCTGATTCTCACTCTTCTCACTGCAAACTCAGTGAGTGGTTTTGCTATACGTATTAATAGTTTTGGAAGTTGTGCTACAAGAACCACGATTAGTGCTTAACCATTCAGAAAAAACTGTAATATAAAAGATTATATATAAGGAAATATATAAAGAAATGCAAGTTTATCACTTTACTAAATATTACCTTCAGAGTTTATATACATGCTTTTTATTGATGTAATTAGCTGAGTGATATAGACTGAAATATTTTTTTAGAGGAAAAGGTAAAGACAAATAATCTTTGAATGTTTAAAGAGTATAGAAAGAACTAATTCAGGTATTTTGAACTAAACAAATTTGTAACTATCAGATAAAACCCCACAGTAAAATAGAAAACACATTTTAACAATGACAGATGGTGAATTTTGGTAATTTTCATAAACTATTAAAAAACCACTGGCTTTTTATTGAAACATTTTGGCTTCAAACTGCAATATGAGACTACCAAGAAGATAATACTGAGATAATGACAGCGACGGGCTTGTAGTTTGGCTGCAAGTAAGAAAAACCCAAACACACAGGTGAAGACTTGCAATAACAGTTTTAAGACACATGTGGTCACGTATTTTACTCAATTTCCTTCTTTTTTTTTTTAGGTTGCTCTTGACATGAAAGCCTTTGTTTGATTTAGATGGTACTCGAGTTTACTTGAAATGTAACAGGAACCAAAGTAAGGAGACTATAAAACAAGAATTGAAATATTTGTGGAAAATTCACAGCTGAAAGCCTATAGAGCCCATATTAAACAGCAAATAACCCATTTTTAAATTCTAAACAGCTTAAAGAGTCTTTACCTTATCTAAAAACAGAATTTTATTTCAAACTTCTTTACAGAGAGGTCAAATGATGATCTTCAGTTCAATCAGAGCTTGGTGCACTCATGTATAAGACCACCAATACCATGTGTATAAGTTTTACACCGGTCTACCACTTCAGTTCCGTCCACCGCTGGTCTGTGGAGAGCATTCCAGGTAACACTAAAGATAATTTGTTTTAAAAAACAATATCAATCCATCAAAAAATCAAAAGCCTCAAATTCAGGTAAAGAGAAAGCAGCTGATTGACCGTAACAGCTTTTATTGAAGTCACAATTTAAATAAGGTTCCAACGGTACTTTCACATTTTAATGTTGTGGTACTAAATAGTGTAATCGTTCTTTCCTTGGCTGTGTTCCTTTCTCAAAAACGTAGTTTTTCTTTCCGTTCCCTACGGTGTTTAGATTTTAGATCAGGATGATTGGATTCTTGATTATGCGTTAATAGTCATTTTTGCAAGGTCAAAGTCGCCCAATCAGGGAAGCTGTCGATCTCTCCTGTCTCGATAAGCTGCTGGTCGCCCTGCGTCAGCGAAAGCTTGTAGCGTAGCCGCACTTTACGCTGAAAGAAAAAAAAACAAAGACGCAGGCATCTCTTAATGGAAATTTTTGCTACTAATACAAGAAAGACATGTTCAAAACTAAAAGAAAAATTAGGCCTAGAATTTTTTCTAGTATAGTTTGAAATTGAAAGTCTGTGTAGAGTTGAAGAGGAATTTGACATCAGATGGCCTCGAAATCCAACAGATCTTGAGGGGTGTTTTTTGCAAAACAGAGAGGGACATTTTTCTGAAGGCAAGATGTACCACAGGGAGCAGACTCCTTCCAAAGAAAATGTGCTTTAAATAAGCTTAATGTTCAAGTGTGTGCAGACTGTGTGTTTGATTGGGTTGCTGCTGCTTTTAATTTTTTAAATATTTTTCTTACATACAGATTTTTTTTTTAAGTTTAAATGCACATGATTTTTTTCACAAAAGTGTAAAATATAGAATATATTATTTTCCTGAATTTGTTTTGCTACCATCCATTGAACAAAGAAATATAACAGAGAGCCTTTCTTTGGGTTTATCTTTTCTTTGTAGGCCTTCTTGTTCATATGCAATAAAATGAGAGTGAAAAATCTGTCAAACGTAAAATCCAGGTAGAAAAAATAACATTCAAATCTAATACAAATAAACATGTTTTGCTTTCATGCAGTATGTATGTCCCCTGGGTAAAATCAAAATAATAATAAAAAAAAAAATACACTCACACTTTCGGGATTGGCTAACAGCATGACTTGTGAGATGGCAGGTGGAGGCAGTAGAGGGTTGTAAGGTGGAAGCTGCATCCTGGAGGCAGGCTGAAGTTTCACCAGCATGCTCTGAAGCAGAGTTAAGGTCAAATTTAGTCATGTTCTCAGTTTTAAATGTGTGGCCAAAAAAGTGTCAAACGGATAAAGACAAGTTCACACACAAAACAAGGAAATGAACTGCTTTTCAGATTTCTGCTACTTTTTTATCCAGCCTATATACCTGAAGATTACATTATATTATGCAGTGTGTGCTTAATAGGATTTGGGACAAGTAAAAAATAACAAAAAAAAGAAGTAAATTTTCGAGCAGCCGTTTTAGAAGTTAGAACACCAAAGCTCAGCACTGTTAGCAGCCATTAGCCTATTAGAGGCTGCAAAGGCAGTAGTGGCTGTAGATAATTGGACGAGAAACAACACAGTCAACAAAAATCATTAGAGCCCCTCTAAGGACGTCAGAAACCTACTTAACATTGAGAAAGGAAGATATAAACCTCCCCAAAGCCTATTGGGAGAATCACACTGGGATACAGGAAAAACAAATTTGGTCTCTGTGGAACATCCCAAGTAATAAAAAACAGTTCCAGGTGCTTTGTTTGCGTTTGGAAGACATTCTACCTCCCCTACAGAAAAAAAGCCTCTTGTTTCAAAGTCATAGGATGATGTGCAGGTAAATACCACTCCATCTGTTTGGTGCTATAAGTATCTGTACTGCTACAGAATCAATGCAGGTGCAACCCTTATATCCACAACAACAAATTAATAACACTAACTAATTTTGTGATGTGCTAAGCAGGCGCTCTGTCTGCACTGATGATGTATTAACCTTGAGACGAAGAATGGTTCCATCCGACGCTCTGACCTTCTGTTTGATTAAGCTCCTTCTGGTTGACCGGCCAGGTGTAATCTCCATAGCTTTAAATATGTGATAGTTACTGGATATAACGTAACGGAATATCTTCAGAATAGCTCCAAATGACACAAAACTGATATGGGTGAGTAGAACATGATGTAATAACGTAAAATCAAGGGCCCAATGTAAAAAAAAAAATGGTGTTCCCCTTTCATGGCTTTGTACAAATGGAGCAATAGCCTGGAAGTCAAGAGGTCATAAAGGGATAAGCCCTTACAGGTGGCTGAGAATGACCCTGCTAAGATCCTTTCACATACTGAAAGATGAACTGGTAATGGCAAACCAACTGGACATACTGGTGATGGACAAGCAGAAGAAGAAGGTTTATGTTATCAATGTAGCCATACCAAGTGAAGAAAGAACACAAGAACCTGGAGGAATACAAGGGCTGAGAGAGGAGATTTATATATTTCTGAAAATGTAGTAATAAGGAACAAACTCACAGTAGCATTAGACACTTAACAGCAAAACAATGACTTCAGGCTAGCTAATAGACCCCCCTCCTTATCTTTGATTTAACAATGCAACTCCTTTTTTCTTTATACCTTGGGAACGGCAACTTGAAAGGTGAAATCCTTCACATCCAGTGCAGATGTGTTCACCGCAGACATGACGGCCACCACCACACCGGGATGACCAGATGGACCGTCTCTGGCAAAATGGAGTGACACATGGATACCAGCCTTGTTGTATAATGTGACTGGCTCCAGTTGACCTACAACACATTAGAAAAAAAAAAGAAAGAAAAAAGGTTAAGATAAAATAAACTATACCTCCTTTAAATTCTAGTGTTATTGTTTCTTAGTGGTTTTAATATTGGTTCCATGAAGGAAACTATAGAGTAATCTGTGGTGTGCATATTCTGAAGGATAACAACAAATCATTTAAATGTTAGGACCCTAACATTAAAAGGATGTTTATTCTTTACTCTGGTCATAATTTTCTCACAGCTGCATAGTGCTCCTTGTAAACAAGAGGTAACAGAGCCTAAGAATACCTACTTGATCTGATGGTTTCCAAAGGAACAAAGATATTCTTCAGTGAAGGAGGGGGATTGCCACTGTCCTGCAGTATTAGCGGTGACCAGGAGTCTTTATTTTGTTGCTTATCTGATCCTGAGACCTGCTTAGTTGGCGATTGTGACCTGATAGCAAAATAAGCAAAGGTAGTTCAGCCAAAGGAATGTCATCTTATTGTGCTTCAGTTATTTCTCAAAGCAAAATTGCTAAAAAAAATAATAATAAAATAAATGTATGAAGATGGTTGAAATAAACCCCAAAACACAAACTGTTTCTGCAGGAAAAAATGTCAACCCACTGGTACTAAATAAAAATACATTTCACACGTTGCCTCTTCACTTGACTTCTAGAGACAGACAGCTTAAAGGTGGGCACTGTATAGTGGTTATATAATTTTACACGAGTGTCTGAACATCTAGTGGATGAAAAAGTAGTGGACTTCAAAATTTTCCAAATGCACCTTGAAAAGTAGTTATTATCCATGGTCACTATAGTAGCAAATATATTTCAGAATGCTTTTTGAGAGCTCTCCTCACAAGGCACCATGGGATTTGATGTGGCGGCGAGAAAGAACAAAGATGGCACAGGGACTTTGCGGGGAGGCAGAGATACGTGATCAGCAGGTAGCGAAAAGTAGTGATCATCTGTCCAAACGGTTAGTTAATGGAGTTCACCGAAAAATGTCCACTAAATAACCCCAGCTCTGTATAGTGAATGGGGGTTTTAGGGTTTATAGAGGATTTTTGGACACAGCTTCTTTTAAAGAACTGAATCTAATCAAGAATCACTGAAAATGACTGAAAACTGCTGTTCACAAACACTCCCCATCTGACCTCACTGAGCTTGAGCTGTTTTGCAAGAAAGAATGAGCAAACATTTTAGTCTCCTTAAGAGCAAAACTAATAGGGACATACCCCAAGTGACCTGCAGCTGTAATCGCACCAAAAGGTGGTGTTATGATGTAATAACTTGTATTAAACTGAATTATTTTGCACAACCTTTTCTCTGTTTCTAATTTTTTAAAAAGTTTAAAATATCCAATCAGTTTCATTCCTCTTCATGATTCAAGTCTTTTGTTTCCTTCTATTATCTCTATCTATCTATCTATCTATCTATCTATCTATCTATCTATCTATCTATCTATCTATCTATCTATCTATCTATCTATCTATCTATCTATCTATCTATCTATCTATCTATCTATCTATCTATCTATCTATCTATCTATCTATCTATCTATCTATCTATCTATCTATCTATCTATCTATCTATCTATCTGCTCCCATCTGGCAGACGTTTCAGGGCAATAAGTACAAAAACAACCAGAGCTGTTGTTGCCCTGAACGCCTCATGTACACTGTAACAACTGTAACTATCAATAAATGACAGTAACACTAAATGCCTGTACCCGCTGCCTCCCCCCTTTTTTTTTTTTTTTTTTTTTACTTTTTTGTATTTATTTTCTTTTAAATTTGCACTAATTGCTTGTACTGTTTTTCTTTTTTGAGAAATTTCGTTGCACCCCTGTGGAGCAATGACAAATAAAGAATTCTGATTGTGATTCTGATTCCATCGCTGTGGGATTGATGGGTTTGGGGTGATTCATAGTACTAGTTTTTAACAGAATGCTCTATGGGATCTACATATCATCGTTTAGAGCTCCTTTTGCTAGACATCTGTTTTGTCCCTCCAGAGTTTGTATGAAACTATGTAAAGGGTATTCTGTCAAAATGAGGATAGAGAATCTTTTCTTACCAGACATTTCTTCCATCTGATAAATTACTGTTTTCTCCACATCCACGGGCTGTGAGTAAAATTTCTCTCCTTCCATTCTGGATGCCGTTAGTCATCTGGCAGCCTTTATCAATCTAAGAAAAAAAAAAAAACATATAAGGTGAATCATCTTAAAATTAAAAGAAATGGATAAATCTTTATGTTTAGACTTTTATTAAATTTCACCTGCATTAGTTCCTCGTAATATGACTTTGAATTCTGCTGGATTTGTTTGGTGAGCAAATCATCAAACTCTGTAATTGCACAACTTCACTGTAAAAAGGGGATCACTTTACTTATGACGGATATATTACAACAAACAGTTTAAATGAAAACTGACCAAAGTCTGGCTCCATGGAAAACACGTTCTCCAAATTAGAAGAAAAAACGGGCGAGGAAGATTCGAAGGAAGGCGGTGAATCAGCTTTCCTTTGGATCTGTGGAGAGTCCAAGGCTGATAGATCAATGAGATGGTAGCTCTTAATCTCTCTGCGGTTCGTCGAACCTGAAAGAAAATGAAAACATAATAAATATACTTATCAATGTCTTTAGAAATACAATTAAGAATGGCCCAAAACACTAAAGACAAAAAAATGCCATGTCAATCTTACAGATATTTTTGCTGGTTACTTCTTCACTTTTACTTCTTGATCTTTCATTATTACATGTTCCTCTTGCCATTAGATCTTTGTAAGCCTTCACCACAAGCGTCAGCTCATCATTTGCAGCCAGGATTTGTGCTAAAGCTGCATCGTCATCCGTTGTGTCGCTGGCCAACCTAAACAGACTGGGCCTCAGTCTGTCACAGCGCTCATAGAGCTCCTGCATTTAAAAACAAAGGGATCCAGCATTACAGGTGGCCTTTCCATAAATCACAATGGCAGAAAAAAGAGACACTGATAAAGGAAAGAAACTTCAATTCCTTTGAAGAAAAATGAGGTTACAAATCCTGCTGAATGTTGGGTTTTTTTTTTTGCTCTGGAGTTATTTTCTTGAAACCCTTTTGGTGATGCTGTTTGAATGCAATGTGAAAAGAGCTACACTGCATTAAACTGCACCCCCTTAAAAAAAAAGAAAAGAAGCAAAGGATGACCAAAATCTTTCATTTCATACAAGTATTATTTGCAGAAATTTACCAGATGCATTCTATTTGAAGAAAATTAACCAAGCAATGCAAGGACGTCCTAAGTCATAGTCCATATTACGTCATCATGCAAGGCTGCAGTAAACAGGAAGTAGAGGCTGCAATGTAGCACTGACCATAGATCAGTATTGAGGTAAGAATGTGTAGCGATCAGAGAAGTTCTTGTGTTAACATGTCAGTTAGTAATTGCGATGTTGCTTCCAGCCATCTCTAAGCCCATAATAGGAACATCCAGGAAGACGCCGACAACAGAAACAGCTGCTGAGTCATCTGATTTTGCATAAAAAGTGAGCGTGAGTGTGTAAAAACATTTTTTTGGTCAATTTAGGGAGTTTATTCGAATTTTACCAATTCCATTAAGCTTTTCTAATCCGAAACTTACAAATGAGCTCTAAAAAAGCTGATGCTACATGGTGCTACAAACTTCACCACTTCATGCAGCCCACTATAAATATATTTGAAGTATTACTAGTTTTTCCATTCTGAAAAAAACGTAACCAAATTAAAGGATGCCAATAAATATTGCTAGGTAACTTTAAAAACTCTTGAAAAACGTTATAAATGTTTCCATACCTCTTGGGATCAAACGTTCGCGGATCTAACTTCCTAAGGAAAATGCTAATTTCACGATACTTTACTTTTTTTTTGCAAAAATGACTTTGCCTTAAACAGTGTTGGGCACGTTACTTTGAAAAAGTAATTAGTTATAATTACTAGTTACTACTCCCAAAAATCTAAGAAAAAGAAAACATATAAGGTGAATCATCTTAAAATAAAAAGAAATGGATAAGTGACTCAGTTAGTAACCGGGGAAACCGTATGTGATGGGGAAACGCAGCTCGACATAACAACGGTATTTCCATCTGGAAAACGCTGTTTTGCTGCTGGAGTCAACCTCACTCTCCATCTCTCTGTTGTTGCTGTACGTTAACACCCGCCAGCAGAAACACCCACCTACCCAACTCACTATAATCTCACTATACATCAGCCATTCTCATCCTTCCCTCTCTCATGACAAGGCGCGCACGAGTCCTATCATCAAAAAAAGGGTTCATTGTGTGACCTGAGTAACGCGCAGTAACAGGGTGTCTGCAATAGTAACTGCGTTATAGTTACAGGCAAAGTAATAAGTTAGATTACTCGTTACTAAAACAAGGTAACGGCGTTAGTAACGATACAATATTTTTGTATCCCTTTAATCCTTATAACTGGAAAATATTTAAATAATTTAGACTACTTTTCTACAAAGAGTAGAAACCCCTGAAAAAAAATAGTACTCACAGTCAAAGTTTACATCTGCAGTCACCAGACCTTAATTCTTCTGAATATTTATGCTCATCAGAAAAATGAGAAAGCCAAAACATTCCCAAAAATCATGGGATGCTGGAAGTCTGACAAATCCCAAGTGAGGTCATGAGATTTCTCTGATATGTTGTGCTCTCACTACATCTTTATTGGAAACAATCTGAACATGAGTCCTGAACAGCTGGACTTTGGAGCAGAAGTTCTAATGCCTCAGATTAAAAGACCTAAATCTGATTAAGATCAAAGGTCTGGAAAATCTAGTGATAAGTAAATCCATATGTATTTCATTTACTAACAACATTCAAACAGTTGGTCTACAATGGACCAATTTTTAACCCTAAGCTGCTCTAATTTTAATGTAATCAACCTTTCAAAAATATTTAAAGATTAAGATAAATTGCATTAAAATAATTACTTTTAATGTCTTGAAGACTGAAGTATCATTTTTAAATAAACAAAATGCACAAACTGAATGTGGTCTGCAGTAAGATTAATCAAAACAACCACTTTACAAGTTACAGATCAACCTAGCAAATTAGTGTATAAAACATTAAAAAGATTCTAAAATTAGAAACGGTCTAAAATTAGGGTTTGTATTTTCAAGATAACACGTAAACATTTACCCATATATTCCTTATTAACCTTTTTCAATCTTAGCGAAAAATCGTGCTATATACCTAAAAGACAAACAGTTCAATATAGGAAAAAAACAGATTATTGCCATTATTTCAATGCTTTTTGTGAACACCTAAAACGTCTTCCTGTTGGTGTTCTAATAGTATTTTAAAAATGTAACACACATTTCCAGAACAGAAAAAAGGAAAGAACGGGGAAAAAACTGCTGCAAACCACACCTGTACACTCCAAAAAGGTAAATTAGGAAACAAAAGTCTGTAATCAGAATAATGCAACATTACTCTCAAGCTGTTTTATAGCATTTGTGGTTTTAAAGTTACAGATCCGAAAATCTGAGTTATGCAGAGTAAATATGTGTTTTCTGTTGTAGAGAGACGAATTTCCTTGTGTGATGTGGAGCATACCTTAACATCATCGCTGGGCTGTAATGACGCTCCAGTAACAGTGTGCTGCTCCAGCAGTTCTCTGAGCTGCTTTGTGCTGCTTTCGACCTCCTTGAGAGTTTCCTCCCGCCTTGCCGCTTTCTCTGCCTTTTCCTGCTCCTACAGAACGCACATTGTTGCCGATCAGTTCATTCAGTTCAGGCCTGCATCCGACGCTAACCAGCACCTCATTCCTCACCTCCTTGATGGTGCTTTTAATGAGCCTGTTGGCAGTTTCCAAGTCTTCTGGGCGGCCACTGTTTAACAATCTTGCTAAGAGCTGATTATGAACAGACATTAAGTACCAAAAAATTGAAATTGAAATCAATGTGCAGCCACTATTACTCACTTTAGCTTTATCCTCCTGATCAAAAACAGACTCTGTTGTTCTTTGTGGAGGAGGAGGCATGATGAGAGTGTCTGGAAGTTTGGGATCTGCCTGTACAATACCTACAAGAAAGAAAAAAACAGTATCAATCTAAGAGAACAATATATCAGTGAGAAATTATTTACTCAATAACAGCCACTATCTACACATCTAAATATATTTTTTTCCTCCTCACCTTGTTTTTTTAGCATGTTGTAGGCTTCCTGAATCTTTGGTTCTTCTTTAAGCCAGAGAGTCCAGCCGTAGAGGACCTCCGTCACTCTGTCTTTAACTTCTTGTGGAGTCCACGCACCAAAATACTGTCCAAAACAAACAAAACAAAACAATGATCCATTCTGTCATCTTTCTGCAATCCAATTTGTATTCATCACTCCAAATATTTATGGACAACTTTAGTACATGAATAGTCAATGTGGGTTTTATTTGACACCTACCGTAAATAAAAATGCTTGCAATCGCATGGATCTTGTGTGTAAACAGTTTATCATTTATCTTTCTATACAGTATTCATCTGGTAAAAATAGTTTAAATTAAGCATTTTATTTCATTATTAATTTTCTAGGTGTGGACAAAAATGTTTAAAGCAGCTATGAGCACACCATGGACGTTAACACATTTTGTCAGCCTCTTTCCATCAAATACTTCTGTTCTTTAATTTTTATTATCTTTGTTCATCCATGCCTATAATAAATTAACCGCACTTGTTGCGGAAAGAGCTCATCTTAACATAACAGCGAATTAATGTCTATTTAGAGTATCTAAGTATTAATAACCTTTGAGCTTTTTCCTACATTTGTCTCGTTAGAACCACAAAATGTTATTGTGGTTTCACGTGACAGGCCAACAAAAAGTACAGCATGATTTCATTCTAGGAGACAATTTCTGCATGAGTTTCAAAAGTGTTTTGCAAGTAAAACACTGAATAGTGTGACAGTTATTTGTATTAAACCCCCTCTACTATTATCCCCCTAAATAAAACCCAGTCAAACTACTCAGTTTCAATGTTACTAAATTAACAATTAGAATCCACCTGTGTGCAGATAGAGTCTTCCAGCTTGAAGGTAAGCAGAAGAAATGTTTTTGAAGCTGCGCTCTTCTGTTTTTCTATTTTTCAAAGTAAATTAGGATTTAACTAGACTGATATCTTAATAATCAGAGTCAAGGCCTATGTAAGCGGTACCTTGGGTGTTAAGACTTTAATAAGCTCATTTAGAAAGCGAAACTTTGCAGCCTCGCTGTGGAACCTCTTCCCACAGTTGTTCATACATGCCTCAAGAACCTGGAAAACACCCAAAAAAAGACAGAAACAAGTGAAAATGAAAGAAAAAAGAACAGTTGAGAGCAAAATCTAACTTGTGGTTAACCACCCCCTTACATGTCAGGAGACATGAAGCACATGACCCGTGAAATGCAACATTTCATGGCAACTTTGGGATTGAAGCCCTGCATCAGGAATTCACGGTGGACTTAAAAGCAAAAGATTGATCCCTAATAATCATGTGGTTCAATTTTAGTTACACATATTACTCACAAGACCACCCCGCTACAGCTAAAGCATAGATATCTGTTCTTTAGGTGAAGGGGAAAAAAATGTGAAAGTATCACTATAAAACCAGTAAGAGCATTAAAGCAAAGACTTTAGGGTTCCCTCACTAGCTAAACAAAACTACACCACTTTATTTAAAAAAATTAAATATCACATTTAAAGAAAAGGGAAAAGAATTTCAAAAATAGCAATTACCAACAACCAAATGGGTTTTTTTTGGCATCAAATTCTAGCAAAACATCTACAGGCTAGTTTAACAATCAACAGTATTTCGATTGAAATGCTCTCCCTTGCATGCGTTGGTTCTTTCGATGTATTTTAGTTCATTTTCAAAGTAGAAAATTAATTGAAAATGTCCTGTTTAATTGGCCTGATGCTTAAATGTTTATGTTTGGGATTATTTGTCCTGCGTGGTGTTCCTTTGGCAGGCTGATGCCTGAAAGCTCTACCTAATAAAAGTGTTATGACTGTAGTAATCAATAAGTAATTTCTTTTTAACAGCAGAGATAACTATTACTTGTGCATTCTAAATCAATGAGTTGGATCATTAAAACTCTGGTTGTAATAATTTTCTACTAATTGATGTCTCACTTGAATTGAATCTGCCAACTTCCAAAATGCAGTAAAATACAATTAGGCTCAACACAGTTCATAAACTTGACAAATTTAGATGGATATTATCTTTATATATTTAACTAAAGAAAAGTTTTTTTAACTGATAGGAAATGACACAAGCAACTACCCCCCTAAAAAACACAGTTTCCAACATTATAATGTCAAAAAGCATTTAAAGCCTTTCTGATTACTAATTGAACATTTATTGGCGTAAAACTAAAAAACATCAGCATTTGTTACCATTGATCGCCTGCCCGAAGTCTTAGAATCAGCCTAATCCCTCAAAACATTAATATTACTTCCAATCAGAAGATTAATGTTTCTAAAATTAAAAGATGACTTTAATATCTTCCATATGTATGAACATTTTAAAGCTTAAGTGTTGGGTTACTAACAGTGAGGGCCTGCAGAGCCTCCTTCTCCTGCGGGGACTGAATCTTATGGGCAATAAGACGAAGAGCTATCTGTGGCCTGAAAAGAAAAAAGAAAAAAACATTACGAAAAACATTAAAAAAGGGTTATTGGGGCATGTAGCAACACTCTGCTAATAATTAGCTAAATGTGAAAAGAGAAGCCTCTGAATTTGCATAATCAGAAAAGTTCCTTCTCTGTTAGTTGCACCGGCTAAGATTGGTGCAACATGAAACCTGTGAAGCAACAGGTTCCTCAATTGAAAGAAGCAACAGGTCTGCCCACACAGTGAAGAAGATACCATCAGGGAGGAAACCCTCACAAGCACAAGTTTTAAAAAATGTGAGGCGGAGGAAACCGTGGCAGGCTTACCCATCAGTCTCTTGGATGACATGCTTGTAGAAACCCTCAATGCAATCCCATCTGTCTTCCTGGTTGTTTGGATCTGTAGCCTTGTCTGATATAGTAAGATAAAAATAAGGGAGTTCAATACAAATACAAACAGAGCAACATGGATTTATTTAGGATGTATTCAGTTTGTTACCACATTCTTTATTTGTGAAAAAAGGGATGGTGAGCAACCACAACCACAAGGGATTTGTAGCAACCACAACATATATTATATTATTATTGTTTCTGTGTCTGACTTTATTGACTCTCTAGAGTGACTTTTCTTTGTAGTGTCTACTTTTTGTAATGTAATTAAATGAGTAATGTTAATTAATTTTCTGTGTTTATTATATGTTTAACAAATCTCACTAGAAGAAAAAAAGTCTTAACTGAAGGTAGCTTTCAGTAACTAACAAAGGAGGTCAAGATTTCTAAAATCAAACAATTAGAAAATAACGTTGTTAGAGGAAGTTAAAGTACGCACAAATTCTCAGGAAGTTTTACTTGTAGACTTCTAGAGCAGCAACAAAAAGGGAATGTTGTTTTTGACAAATTATCAACACACATCAACCATAAATTTCCTGTTAGTGTTTATGTTGCTGCACACTGTTGATGGAACAGATTAGTGAAATATGAAGAGTCTCTTAAAGTCATCAGTATAAACAACAATAAAAAAACAAAGATTATAAATAATATATGATTATTAATATCCCAAGCTTGGATAAATAACATGAAGGATAGTTGTTCTTGGTACGCTGTACCAAGTACCAGGCAGTTAGCAAGAAAAATGAAAACCTTCAGAGGGGTACAGAGGAAACCACCACAGCAGAGATCATCAGCAGAAAACCTGCAGCTGAACATCGAATTACTCCTAAATCAAAACTTTCTAGCTACAACTAAAGAGTGCAGCTGATCAGAATAAAGCAAAACAAACAACTTTATAATAAAACAGATATAGAATGGTAAAATATTAGACTAAATTAGATCTGTAATGGGACTTTAAGAGCAGACATCATGTTATCCATGGAAACTATGACCTGACCAGAGGTGTCAAGTAACAAACTACAAATACTTCGTCACTGTACTTTTTAGGTATCTATACTTTATTCCATTACTTATTTTTCTTCCTACTTCTGACTTCTACTCATTACATTTTTTGACACAAGTATCTGTACTTTCTATTCTTTACATTTTTAAAACAAACGTTACTCGTTACTCTTGGCTTCAGTTTAATGCTTATAAATATTTATTTCACGTCATGTGCGCCATACAATGCAGATCATTGGCGCCATCCACATTTAGTGAAAACTAGTGTAATTGGATGAGTCGTATAACGCAAACACTCATTGGTTAGCTAAAGGAAATCATCAGAAGCAAGCAGGTGTTCTTCAAACTGCAAACGTGAATTGTCTATGCCATGCTACAATGTCGGATTCAGAAAAAGATGTTGAAATGTCTGAAAGGTCGGACACAGGCCAGAGCGATCGGGAGACGGAGACCAACAAGACCTCCCTCATCCTTGGCCCTATCGCAAAGAAATTTTCAAAACAGTTGAAAATTTGAGATTTCAATTCATATAGTGGCATCTGCCTGTTTTCTTTTAAAGGTTACTTTAAACTTTTATACTTTGAGTAGTTTTTGGAGCTCATACTTTTTCACTTTTACTTGAGTAAAAAGGTCAAGTTGATACTTCAGAATGTTTTTAAACTGCAGTTTCTATACTTCTACTTAAGTAACAAATGTGGGTACTTTTAAAACCACTGGACCTGAAATACAGGGAATTACGGTATGAAACCTGTCTGTACCTGAGTTATCCACAGGATATCCAGGGGTAATATTATTAATATCATTAAGGTAATATGCCCTGGACCTCTTTTTGTTGTGTGTTTGTTAGGTTAATTGAACAGGTAAAGTGTAAAGAATCATTCACCTAAAGGTTCCCTCTATTGTTTGGCACCAGACCCAGAACCACTCATCAGTTCAATCGCATGCTGAATGCTTTTAAAGGATCTTATTTACAAATGGTGTTGCATTTTTTTTTTTTTTTTTTTTTTTGCAGACTAACCAAAATGTTTACTTGATGGAAGATAGCTTTGTATCTATCTCCTCTAGAGGAGGTTTCTCCCTATTTCTCCTTTCTGCTTTTTACCACATGCTTGCTTAGTATGATGGATTGCTGCAAAATTAAGGACTGAATGCAATCAACTATTTATCTAGTAAAGTGTGTTTAGATTACATTTATTTTGAGTTGATTTTTTAAAAATAGATTAAAGAAGTAAAACTGAATTGTATAAATTAAAATGGTGCCATAAAATCATTGAAGTTTGCGGGCACAAACACATTTACACCTTGTATTTAGCTGGACACTGAAAGAAGGCATTTAGGAATATCTCAAATAACTTCACTGAGTGTATTTAGTTACGGTAAATAGATTTTGTTTGCTTTGGAGGCTGTGTTTATAAACCAGACTTCGCAGAAGTGCAGGGAACTATTCAAAAATGTTCAACTGGATTTGTTGTGACCACATATTAAGCTGACATTTTTCGTCAGAAACCACAAAGCGCGCGCACATTCGGGCGCAGACAGAAACCGCTCGAGCGCCTCTCGGGCGCGCGCGGCTGGAGAGTTCAGCAACTTCCTGTCAAAAGCTAAAAGTTTGTGATGAAACTCTTATTTGTCAGAGCAAATAAACTGAAGCGAAGATAACTAAACACGTACAGGCATTGATAAATGAATAAAATCTACTGCTGGGGAGATAATACAAGAACGCAGTAACGGTTAATATGGCATTAAATAACGACCGCTGGTGGGAAGTTAGCGCTCTGTCTCATCTGCAAACGATATGCAGGGAAAAAAAAGAAAAGCTTAACTCTAGTAGTTTTTTCTTTACTCACTGAGCCATGATTGAAAAGTGTCCGGACTGTCACCGCTCGCCATCGCTGCCTAAAGTCCGCAGACAGAGCTGCTGTCCTGGGAGCGTCTCTCTGAGGGTTGAAGCGGAGGTGTCAAACAGCCGCTTGTTTATAGTGACATGTGACACTCACGCACAGTCAGTCACACTCCTGACGCTCCAATAAAGTCATACATTTAACCCCCCCCTTCCTCTATTGACGGGTAACATCTTTCAGGGGCGGAGCTAGTTGGGGGGCCAGGGGTGGCCATGGCCCCCTTAGCCAATCATTGGCCACCCCTAACATTTTTTTTTCACCTTCTAAGACAGGTGGTGGCAGCAGTAATACTCTCAAATGGAATGTTCAAAACATTTACATTTTTCATATATTAACAATTACTTGACAACAAAAGCACTGTGGTTAATTATGCACATCAATATACTAACATTAAAGATGATACATATGGAATTGATCCACTTTTCAGAACTAGATTTTGTTTTATATGGGGTAAAGAGAAAATGATGTGTCTTTGCAAGTCATTTAGGAGTCTTCAGTCAAATCCTAGATAAATAATTATTTTAATAAAAACTACTTATTAAATAATCAATTTATGTAGATATTAGTACTTGTAAATATTATTTTTTTAATGACAATGGAAAAGATGTTTGCCCTAGAACTCAGATCCGAAAGAATTTCATCCACTATACCTTTTATCTAAACAGCACAGATGTAAAAGGCAAAAGGCTGTAAGAAAGTATACTTTGTCTTTATTTAGAAAATATGGACATGCTCATTAATTTTCCTGTTAGAACAGAGTAGATTGACGCTGAGGTTCTGGCGCCTATCTGCTTTCAACCACCCCTCAGTGTACATTGGTTATTGCCTGGCCAACCTTATAAAAATGTTCTGGCTACGACTCTGGTAACATGTCCATAAAACTTTAATTTGGACATTCAAAAACATAACATATGTCTCAAATTTCAGTTTAGTTACAAATATATGTTTTTTATTCACTATGTATTTCAATTTACCCTTTATAGGATACTCAGTGAAATACTTTAACAATCAAAAATTAAAGCCAATAGTGTGATTGGAAGAACAAAATCTTATTACCTTTGTAAAAGAAAAACAAGGATATTTTGATGTCAAAAATTAATGTCAATGTAATAACAAGAAATGTCAACTAGCCGGAACATATTAAGAAAAATAACAAAAGTGCTTCTATAAGAAATTCTTTAAAAAACACACTTTTTTTTTTTTTTTGGTACAACATAACCTTAGAAGCATTATTGCTGATACTGGCACCTGCATTTTTTGGTTTATAAACCTAAATATAATTGTTAAGGAGGCTTAACAACTTTTTAACTTTACTTTTTAACTTTTCAATTAGGTTTTTAACTTTTCTAAAAATTAATTTACAGTAGGTAATATATCAAGGGCTCATCTAATTGATCAAATGCCAAAATAAGATGTACAGCCGTGTAGCAGGATCTTTGCTTAATGGCTGGATATAGATCTTGTGTTTCTAGACCTCATGGAGGGATGAGGGGAATCCATTTGTAAGGGGGATGCAAGAAATCCAAAACACTAACTTGCCCAAAAAAAGGTTAAATACAAAAAAGAAAAATTTATTCACAATGCTATTTTATTAGTACTAGTAGTAGTAGTGGGAAATGTCACAGACTTTAATTTTTATGATGATTTTATGTGATATACAAACACAAGGTAGTGCAAAATCGCGAGGGTAAAGGAAAATACAGAATTCTCGCAAGTGTTTAACAATTACAAAGCTGAATGCATGATATGCATTAGTGTTCCACTTCGGTTATTATACTGTAGCAATCCATCCAGTGCAGCTTTTCAAAGTCACAATGGTAAATAGAATCCCACTTAATGCAAAATTATCTCAGTGTAAATCCAGCTCCTCTCTGAAAGCCTCAGAAGTGATGATTAAGAGAACAAATATCATCATGAAGACCAGGGAACACAACAGGAAGGTCAGGTATAAAGCTGTGGACATTTTTGAATAGGATTTAGGTTATGATATAATGTCTTGATATGATTTAAATCATAGATATGATTTAATATCTATGATTGAATATGAATATATTCATTTAAATCATAGATATGATTTAAATCATGGATCATCATTCATTATAAAAATAGCAGTGTCTAGGCTACCAAAAAATAGCTTCTCGTGATAAAATCTTCCTTTTGGGTCAGTATGAATTAAAATTACTTACAATTGTTGAATATCAGATGGAGAGTAAATATATTTTCTTACAATACAGTAACATTGCCACTTGATCTGTAAGTTAAAAAAACTTCTTGCTTTTCTTGGTCCAAGACTTGCAAGGTTTCCTCTTTTTCTTGAAGTTGGGTCTCTATGAACAAATATTAAAATTTGACATTCACTTAGCAATGGACAGTCTCTCCAAAATTAGAACCTTTGTTCCTGCGTGCATCTGCAGCCTTTTACTGCTGCTTTTCATTTTATTTAAACTGGGACAGCATCAGGAGACATTAACCTCAGAGATTTTACTAATTTCCAGTTGTACCTTCTGAAGAAAGCTTGTTCCTTTAGGACTATCCTTTCACCCAAAGCTGACACAAGACTTGTTTCATTCTTTTACCACATTGGACAGCATTTCTCCATTATTTTGCTATTTTGGAATTGACAATGTGCATTTAACACCAAAGCACTTATTTTACCCCTCAGACACCACATCCTTCCTGAAAGGTATAATGGATGGACATTCCTGTGCTGTTTCACACTTACCTTTTGCTGTCTCAAACACATAATCTTTAGATTTCACTCCAGAAATACATAATTCTTTTCCTGTTTGCTGAATTCTTTCTAAATGTCAATGTAAAACTCACATCCGTAGATTTGAGGAACTGCTTTAAAATGCATCCATAAATCTTTGGCACTGATCTAATATTTACATATCAAGTTATTTACAGATTGTTAAATAATTCTTTGTTAAGAGTAATACAATTCTTTCATTATTTTACCATATATAAAAACACAATTCCAAAGCATCTAGTAATTACCCTTTAAAAATTGTAAAAATATTACAAAATAGCCTTAAATTTAAGCCCTTTTTATAAATGTAAAAAAAAAATAAAAATCCTCCTTGCAGATGCTACAAAAACTGTACTCCCCTCCACACCCATTTCAATAGAAGGATTACAACAGGAGCTTTTCTTCCCTTGTAATTTACCCTTTTAGAAGTTTGTCGTAATGTGATGGTGCACTTATTTCCCTTCAAAATAAAGACTGTGCCCTTAAATGAACACCGAGGTGCCATACCGAAACTATAACTCTTTCTTTAATGTCAAATATGTCAGCTGAAGATAACCTGCTATTTTTCTAAAGTATTAAATTTGCATAAAAACACCAAGGTACTTCCCATCCAGGTGTGCATGAGTTAAGACACATGTTTTTTCAAAAGAATAAAAAGAAAAAAAGAAGAAGTTTTCTTTATTTTTCTTTATAAATACATGACAACTTTAAAAAGCACACAATTTCTCCAGCTGAGACTATTTCAGGCTTGATAGATTAACCATGTTTGTTTAAGAGATGCATTTCTCAATATACAGAACAGTTATTTATTCAGTTGAGTAAAAGGTTATTGGGTAGCCATCTTTAACACGTCTCTAAAGCAAGCAGAAGCTTCTGGAATCGATGTCTGATCTCTGCAGGACCCAGAGATACCATCATTTCAGCAACACTTGGACCTTGCTGCAACACAGAGGGCAACACATGGAGGTCGGTTAGGTTTCACAAAAAAAAATAACAGACTGATGGTGTATGTGAAACTCAATCTGAAGCAACTTCCTCGTTCAGTAGCTCTTCTCTTAAAAATTTGCAGGTTTACAGAGTCGCTGCAGCTATCTATAAGCTTTTCTGTCTTTATTAAAAAAATTAATTCTGCCTAGTCATGATGTGGACAACATGACAGAGGGAACAATATAAGTTTTAAACAGTCAGCTCACTTAAGTGCTGATTAGAGTTTGAAATCTGCAATTTAATGAGAATAATAGGAGAAATGAAACCTCTGAGTTTAAAAAACCCCCAGAAACTCCTTGATTGCATCTAAATATTCACCAGGTCCTGCTCATTTTCCAATAGAAAAAGATTAATAAAATGATAAATTATTAGTTTAACTCTTAATTGTTAAGTCTTAAAAAGATGGTTCTTGTTCCAGAAACATACAGAAGCCTAAATAGCAATGATCAGATGTGCCTGGTAAGACCTTTAAAGTCAGATTAGAATATTGTAGCAGCTTTAAATCTGAGTGTAATAATGAAAGTTTGTTCTGGCAGCAACAACTCTGATGATGCAATGATGGTTTCAAAGATAAACCCAAAAAAACTAATTTTTAAAAATCTATAAAAGCTTGGTGGTTTATAGATGATCCACTATAAAAAAACATTAGTCAATGTTGTCTTTGAATAAGACTAAATCCTTTGAAAGTATTAACAGATCTTTTTAACCCATTCAAGAACATTTTTGTAACCCTTTTCTTACTGATGGATGTAAATGACTTTGGGTGATTTTTTTCCCAATGGTATGAGTTGTAACAGTTTTTTTAAATATTAGAAATATCACAGATTTGTATATTATTATGAATAAAGAGGTAGACTGAGATGCGTTATAAACAGGCTCTAAAGGTCTGATTTTCGTTGAACTTTAACCAATGGATGTAGACTTGGGAAAAAAAAATCGACATGCATCCAACCTGAAGTGACAAAAAGTTCGATCACTATGAACATTTTCCACAAATACAAGGACTTATGAATTACAAGGAAACTTGTAATGCGTCATCAAGACCACCAAAGCTGCAGGCTAAGGTTCAGTTTACTCATGAGGCGACAAAAACTGAAGACTAATAACTTATTCACACAAACCGTGAGCCCTATGACTCATGAGACAGTGTTGCTCTCCACTGTGCTGATCTAATATCATTACTTGAATCACTAAACATCTGGAAAACACAACACACTTGTTAGAACTCATAAGTATGGTATATTAGTACCTGCAAGCCGCTGAGAACCAGACGTAACAGCTTCATCACCTCTCTGTACTTGGTAGCTTTGGTCAGTTTAGTCAAACCCTTCAAGTCTTTACTGACTCGGTCCACTGACAGCTCCTCA